ACACTGACGGGAGACTGTCAAAGTAAAACAGGAAGTACAGAGGTGCAGACAGGAGGAGAGAGAGAGCACGGGCATAGTGGGCTGGGGAAACGTGGAATGAAACACAAGGAGGGGAGACGAGGGCTCACAGATACACAGAGGGCACACAGGGGGTAAAAGTCACAAGGAACAAAATACAAAAATGCATGAATACTACGACTGCCGGGTCAACATGGCCCAGACATCGTGCTGTTCATCGTGACTGTCGAGAACGATTCTTCTTCATACTGTGTTTGTTATTTAGCACTGCAGGAATTAGTGACACGGCGGTTAGGTGGCTGGGATCGGCCCTGAACTGGAAAATGGGTGGAGTGGGTGGAATTTTCTTTATATAAAAAATGAAAAGCTTGTAATTATATGCTGTGTGCGCTGACGGAAAATCATAAATGGAATAAGGAAATGGAAATTTCTGTCAGCTAGTTCCAAGCTTACCTTTATTACCCATCTTGCACCATCGAATACCTTTTAAAGAAAAAACATCATTGTGGCCGGATTACAACATGATCTTCTCCAGGATGTGAATCCTGATCTCAGTGCGTTCTTTCAACCAGTGGAAATCTCATTAACCAGAGTTTGTAGTCACGCTGCCTTTTGGAGTCGACTGAATACGACAAATATGTTGTTTGTTTGTTTGATTTGAGTGGTTACTTTCACTGAAAGCATGTCCACTAATTTGTGTTGTTACCAAAGGAAACACAAAGCGAAACAAATGTGGCCACAGCGGTAAAAGGTGAGATTCTAGAGATTATTTCAACAATTATGCAAACTTAACCCAGACTATATTAGTTTTGGTAAAAGAAAAATATATTAAAAACAAGATAAAGCAAAGACAAAATAAGAGCTGAGCATTGTGTCTGGATTCAGTGACAAATGTTCCCATTTTGTTGCTCGTTGCGTTTCACGACTGATGTGAGATTTTATCAGACGTGTGCGCGTCTGTTTTGTTTTTTAATGACTTGAGCGTATGAGGAACTTAAGTGTCAGTTTTTTCTCTCCAATGGAATAAAAATGACATTTATAATGTCATTACACAGTGAAAAGTTTCCAGGAAGTGATAACAAGGAATAACTCAGCAGTAAATGTTTCCTAGAAGCTCGCGTGAACTGTAAACTTTGATCTTTAAAAGTCGGAAGTACATGTTTGCTTTGGAAACATGTCATGACATGTAGGAAACCAGGAGGCCTCTGAGAGCACCAACTTTATTCCACATCATTTGACCTGGAAG